TACAAACAAAGTCGACCACGGTTCTAGTCACTAGAACTAAACAGACCAAACGCTGGGCGTTTACAATGTTTGCAAACGTTTACACCTTCGTTTAGCAAACGGACGTTCCGAATTTCGCCGTTATCAAACATTTGCAACGTTTGCCGCTCCAGAATTTCCTCGTAGTGTAAACCCGGCTATTATAATGTATGTATACCGGGTATACGGTTTTCGCACAAAATAGGTACTATGTGGTATTAATGATCGATTTCAACAGATTTCCACTGTAATAAATTGAAATCATTAATTCATATAAGCTCATATTATAATAATATTACCGCTGCGTAGGCATATAATAATATGTGGTGGATATTACTCGGTATCAGATTGCCGAGGGAAAATAACAACGTTGGTACCTAAATAAATATACGCACGCGCTAGTGTGTGCGTTTGTAATCGTCATTGAATTTTACTCCCGGCAGTCGTGTAATATATTGTAAACAGATGTGACTTTTTTTTTATGAAGTCGTTTTGAATCGATCGAGCCACATTCTCGAAAACAAATTTAAACACAGGATGCTTGTGCCGCCGTATAGTTGCAGGAATGTCTAGAAAAAAAAGTTGATTAAAAAAAGGGAAAAAGGTCGAGTTTTAAAATGTTTTGCTGGCCGTAAAATAATTTAACGGTTTAAAAACGTGTGACTATGATGTAGTACACCGTCCTAAATAGACTCGGTAACGAATTATATTCAAATCATCAGAGCTGGATAACTTCTAGCAAGTCGGCGGATCATTTAAACCAGCGTGTGATGCACAGAATTACACTCGGTAATCGTTTCGATACGGCCTCGGCTACTATAAATGGTAATTTGCCGACGACGTCCGCCGTTGAATTCGACGTGAGCGGATATATTATTATAATATTCTTTTCCATTCTCTGCTGAATCGTTATTTATTACGACGACGTCGTTATAAGATGTGATATTAAACATTATTGATAAGCCGTTCAATAATAATAATAATAATACCGCATGTGCAGTCTATGCCGTTGGTGCTATAATCAATTTGTGGTATTTTGCATCGAATTAAACGCATAATAATATTATTATAATATATCGAATTTCGACGGTTTAAGTAAAAACCATCTTTCACAAAGAAGATATTACCTATATCGAAATCTAAATAACACATAAGTATGTGCTAAATTGACTGCTTAAAGTATACATATTAATAATCGTTATAAACACATTAAAGAAAATATAATAATAAAATAGACGAGTATAAAGGTATAGTGGACCGTATTATAGGTTACATTTATTTTAACGATGGATATTACCGTTTTGTTTTTGCGTATTGTAAGTGTATTTTTTACACTTTTAAAATAACTTCTTTTTCCATATGATAAAAACATACAAAAGCACATATTATTATAATATACACAATACTCATTACAATGTATGTAGTATGTACATTAATATTTGTACACTATGTGACTCGTACGTAAAACCTATAACATATTTAAATATATTTGGTCACCATTGGTCACATAACGTGTAACCATCGGCAACCACCTACGATTGTTTATTGATTTTGAAATGTTCTATCTCATACTACAGCGTTGTACACTCGTAATAATGATTTTTAATTTAAATTTTAATATTAATGTTTTCTATTTTCTCTGATTTTCATACGAGACGTCGTTGTTTGGAGATAGTAAAAGACGTGTTTGTACTCTAGAATACAATAATAATATTATGTAGGTAGGTTCCATTAAAATCTCGACGGCTTTAATATTCAATATTTAATTCAAGGCTATTATAATATATAAATATTATTATAGTGAGTTTATTATTAGTGAAATCATTAAATGCAGCGTATTACATTGAGGTTATGCCAATGCTATTATAACACAACTGTGTGAAAACGAAGTTGGACTTATTCGGTAAAACTTAATTAAAATACCATCACCATTATGCGGATGTTAATCTAGCCGGAGCTTATGGGGGCTTACGACGCACAAATATTTAAATTATTTAAAATAACAAAGTAATTCGAAAATATTATCACTCTAAACTCTAGAGAAAAAATCGCATGTGTTGTGATAATATAGCGAAATTGTAATTGTATTCATCCAACCGTTGTGAATGTTAATTAATATATGGCGTGTGTGTGTGTGAAAAGAAATATTGCGTGGAAAAAATTAAAGTGAATAAATTGAGTTTAAAAATTTTGAACATTCCGTATATATTATTATTATTAATACTTATTTTAATTTGTGTCATACCAAAGAGAAAAAAACATTTCGCGTTAAAAAAATCAAAAATGCTTTGAAAATTTGAATTTTAAAATTGTTTCAAGGTAGTGAAGAATTTACCTATATAATATGTAAATAAAAATAATTAATATACAATATACCTACATATAATACATATAATATTATAACTATGTAAGTACCTATAGGTATAATATATAATTAGATAATATTATGTTTTCATTTCGATGACAAAGCAAATTCTGTCTTCAATTTATTCAAATGACCAGTATTTTATATGATATAAATATTGCAAAGCACATTAACCTTGAAAAATCAACACTTTTTCAGAACCTTGAAACTGTAGTATACCTACATATATTACTTATCATATATTTAAACGGACTTGAAACTAAGTTTTTTTATCGACTAAACACTATATAACATTACTAATTTGAAATACCTACTGTGGACACGGATTCTATTGTTGCATAAAGTTCTCAAGTGTACAATTATTAGAAAACATCTACGAGATCATCAATTTCGTATGGTCTATAAAATATGCGTAAATAGAAGACATTATTTTTTGGAGGGACTGGAGTTATGTATAACAACCGTGAGTCGTTGGGTACTCATTCCACATTCATACATTTTTATTGAAGCACAATCACAAATTGTCTATGTAAAAGTTAAGAATTCATAATTTTTTTTCATTAATCGTAGTTTATGTAATAGAGCATGTTTATGCTCATGATTCAAGTTATTCATGTTTATACCTATATATTATATATTATATATACTATAATATACTATGGGTACCTCTATATACGCTTATGAATATAGTATTATAGGCCAGCCACTTTTATTTTACCTATAGAAATTGTTTTTATAATTAAGTTTAATCTCACACCCTTCTAAAAATTGTTGAACGCACCACAGCTGGTTGGGAAATACAGTAGTTATACAATGTACCTATTCAGATATTATCAGAAATACAGTATCACAAAAACAACATTTTCAAATAATTATTTTATATTTTTATAAATATTATTGGCTTAGTCTTTTAAACTGCTTAATTTACAAACTTTTCTACCAAATTGAAAAAGAAGGAAATAAATGTGTTTTGGTGAAACACATATTTTTTTTTAATGAAATAAATATTGCTGTTTTTTCCCGAAATGTTCGGAAACCATAGTATATTGCGCTGCGTGCTGCTGTTTAAAGGCGTCCGACCGACAAGTCCATTAATTAAAACAACAATTGCCATACAATAAAACGGTTATAATATGTAAATATTATAATATATTTTATGAGTATGATGACAGAATTGTATAAACAAGTAATACAATCAATTTCTAGAGTATTTTTTTACTAGAATTTATTCATTGCGTTGTCCAATTGATTTCAAATTAATTTTATAAAAACCAAATTAAAATTAATGATTTAGTTGAACGATTATTAAATACTCATAGACAAAGGTGGGCTAGTTAATGCAAATAATTAATTCAAGTTAAGTTAAGTTGAGAGGACACAAGATCGATAAGTTAAAAGTTAATATAGAAAAAAATATTAACTCAACTCAGTTTAAAAAAAGTTAATTAATTTTTTTTTTAATTAGTATGTAAATCACATAAAGAGTGAATGTGCATTTCTAGTTTCTAATTTATAAATTATAAAAAACAATTTTATTGAACTTTTGTCATAATGTACACTATGCATACAATTTTAATTTTACTTTACTATTATTTACCAATTTAAACTATACTCATCTCAAATTAATAATTTAACAAATATATATTTTTTATATCGTATAGCAATTGAATGTCATAATACGTGAAGATTAGTACATGACCTTCATATATATTATAAGTTATATAACATTAAAACATAACAATTATTAATTTGTAATTTAAAATTATTAATTTTATTAAAAACATTTATAATTGCAACTCGCATAACATAGGTATAATTTACAACTTAATAAAATATATTAATATACATTAAATTATGTTATCAAGAAAAACAACAGAAATGTTTGTGTTTTTGTATTGGATTATTTTTATTTTATACTGATATAGTAATATTTACGTATAAACGAAAAATTTCAAAATGTTTTAACTTGATGGATTTTTTTAAAATCAACTGAGAAAAGCTAAGTTATTTCAACTGTAAATTAAACTAGTTAAGGTGACTTTTGCTCATAGAAACATAATATTATTTACCCAATATTTTTTATCATCGATTTTATTTTTACTAACATTTCGTCTATAATATGTTTATTGTTTGATGACTCTTAATGAACCTAACCTAACCTAACTTCACATTAAACAATTGAATATAGTATTGGACACATTGGTTGTGTATTCGTGTATACCTACTATGGTAGCACAAATTCGTATAAGCGATGTCATAAACGTTTTCAATCCAAATCCAATTATATATAAAAATCATCTATATGAGATTCTGCAAATACAAAGAAACAACAATATTTACTAAACTGATTCCTCTAAGTCAGAAAGAAGAGTGGGGATCATAAGTCACAACTGCTCATGACTTTTTTTATAAACTACCGGAATATTGTTCCATTTTGCAGATGCCACAGCAATTCTTAAAATGGTTGAATATCTAATTAACACAGAAATATCCACAGAAATAACATTGTTCTTACAAATTATCTGAGCTCTCTGAGAAGTATAGTAAATACAACAAGCCCTATGCAGGTATTTTAAAGTAAATAAAAGAAAAAACAATTCAATCATGCAATAGAAGAATGGTACTGGGACACAGCAATATAGAAGGAATTAATGCCAATGTTAACCATGAAGCAAAAAGGGCATTAGATCTAACCAATACACCACTCCAGAGTCTGAACTCAATAGTTCAGATCATAATTTATATGGACAACAATATTAAGATTAAATGTCAAGCAATCGGGTATGAAAATGAATCCAAGCTAAGGGAAATCAAAAACAGAATACACCATTGGAAAAACCCTGAATTAAATAGTAAAGAATGACAATACCTGAAGAATACCTATAAGAAACATAAGGATTTCTGATATCAAAGGAAGATCTATCTAGGTACATATGAAACCTGCGGAGTAACACTGTAACGATCAAACACCTACTGACGAAATTTCGAAAGTACAAAGAAGAGCTCTAAGAAAACAAAATACCCAACACCTTAGACGCAGTGCTGGACCCAAGCCTGAAAACAACCTAAGCTAACTATGAATATTTTAAGGATAAACTAAACAATATGTGAACTTATTTCACAGCTACTCAAATTCAACTTTCGCTCACATCCGCCTTAGCCACCGGCCTAACTTCAAAATCCACAAAGCCACGCACCTGTTATTGTCTAACACAAACTAAATGAAATAATTCACCACATCTTACTCAACCCGGTCATAGGCTAACGCCTGGCACGAGTATATAGGCATTTGGCCGTTATGCGAGCAATGCAATGCAATTTTATTTTTATAATATGTGTACCGGCAAAACATTACTATACAGCGAGATTTGACCCACTTGCGTGCATGCATACTGAGCCGCCGGAACATTCAGACACCACGAGTAGGTGACCGGAGGTCTGTGATTGGTTGGCGGTGTTCGGCGATGGACAGTGCTCGTCCTAGTTGGCGACGATCACCACTAGCGCTCCAAAGACCTGCGCGGCCGCGACCAGTTTTCGCCGAGCGAGTGGGTCAACTGTCGCTGAATAGAGTATAGCACAAGATTTATGTACGAGTGATGTTTTACCAGAACCCCCCCAAAAAAAACGAGTATAACGAGTATATTACCAAACCAAAGCTATACGTCGATCGTTCATTGGTCGAAAAATCCTAAGCATTACGGACAATAGTCGAAAATAATGATTTCTCTAAAAAAAAAATATAAAAGTGTCGATTGAAAACCACATTGTTGAGTAGCGATGGGTTGATAAACAGTGTCAAGTTTCTTCGTCTAACTGTTTCGTTCTATCCAATAGAAGAATTGTTTTCCTATTGTTAAACTTTGGTTGATTTTATGTCAAACAATATTGTTAACAAATTGTTAATTAATTGTATAATAACTACTTATTTGTAAATTGTAAACAAAGTCTAATTTCAAGTATTTTGTAAATACAATTATGATAACGTATCTAATAGACAGTTATGCCAGTTAAGCGCATTGATTGAGTACAGTACTGTTTGACCGAATTCATTTACGGTTCGTAAATACCCCGTCGGGCGCCTGAACATTGCTCTCACCGATGTCCGAATTGTTTTTTTTTTTTTTAGGGGGTGGGGGGGTGATAGGTTTTGTCTCAACCATTGTCTCACCATTGAGTCACAACAGCCAAACGTCAGAGGTGTCACCGACCACCACGTTCTTCATCACTACCACCGATGACACCACGGTAGGGACGACGATCACTGCAGTGGATTCACGAATGAGAATACCAGGACGGCGGACTACGGTCGGCTCGCCAAAACTTGGTCAGTTTTTAAAATAGAAAAAAACATTTTATACAATAAATGTTTAAAAAAAAAATACTCTACCCGAATCTGCAGAAAAAAACTGTGGTTGCCATTCAAAAAAAAGTAAGTCGTATTGCGCATGCGCGTACAGAGTGAGCTAAACAATTTGAAACGTGTTTGAAAATATGTATTTAAATGTTCCCTATCATCTCCCGAAAACCCCATTTCAATACAAAGTCACCCATCTGAGATATTCAGTGGTACCTAATATCGTGATCACACTGTATATAATATTATATTGTACTCGTATTTGTGATAATAATATCTACCAGTATAACGCGGATATGATTGTAATTTAATATTATAACAATTATAATACTGATATAGTGCGAAGTCATCGGGCGAACAAATCGCGGGCGGCGGACGAAATTCGAAAATTGCCGGTCAATTAATCTTGAGCCCCTAAACAGCCGCGTCGAGAGAGGGCGCGGGAGACGCACACGAATTTTATATACATATTATATTATATATATATATTATTACCACTGCGTACATGTGCACATCCGCGCCTCCCCTTTCCCACCGCCGAAACCCTCTCCACAACACCACTACACTCTTCCATCCCTCCCCACCGACAGACACACAGCCGTAGCCCCGCGGCCGGAGGTCATTAATTACACCGAAAGGGTGTGTTCGCGCTGTGCACGGACGACGATCCTCCGCCGCCGAGTCGGTTCCCGCTGCCGCTACAATAGGTACATTATTACACAGCAGTGCGCATTCGCGAAAGCTGCCTTTTCCGGCGGTACATACGGCGACGTCACACCGGAAGTGGTCTACACCACACACACACACACACTCACTCACACTGTATACCCGAGCGCACTTTCGTCATTACGCGGCTGGCCGGTTCGTCCGGTACAAAAACGATGTTATAGGTAATACCCGGCGCCGTTTTTTCCGTTTTGTTTTAATACAATATTATACTTATCGTTGTGTGTTATGTATGATAAGTAAGCGTTAAACGTGCGGGGAGACACGTTAACCATAATATATTTTTATACCACCCCAGCCGGCCCCATACATCCGACCCGACCAGAGATCGAGAACCGCCGATCAGTCTTTTTTTTTTTTAGTCCCTTGTGTATTTCACCTCGAAATCGTGTTATACCGAATTAATATCATATTATCATAAGACTTTTGTCCTTCGCACATATTTTATAATATAGTACTTATTTATTTATACATAATCGCAGTGACGTATATATTTACAATTTTGTTTGTATATAGTGAGGCTTGGGGAATAATTAAACTAATGAGGTATTGAAATTTGAAATCACACAACAGTCAAGTCCACCATATCTACGAATCCAATAGATTGCAAATATATACCTAGGTAATGTAGAATTTTATGTATTGTAATGAAATAACTAGGTACCTACACATTATTTTATGAACATAAACAACAATATTAATATTTGATGTTTAAGATTATTTTAAATAAATTCCTAAAATTTATTTAAAAAAAAAGTTGACGTGGAATCTGACCCCGACCCCCTTAATTATACAATTATGTGCTCTTGATATTATAGGTATGGAGTATGGACGTCTGGTTACAATAATGTGTATATACATGCTCATGTAGAAGGCTCATCGAGTAAGCAAGGGAACGCGTCGTAATGTCGTAATCAATCACCCCTAAGGTCTTTTCGTCTTTGATTGAATCGGAGAGTCTATTATTGGTTATATTATACGACGTATAAACATATATTATTATTATTATTACTATCTCGTGCTCCTGCAGCAGACGGTGCAGATTCCGCAGGATATGACGATTTAAGTTTGGTAGCCCCCTTACTAGGACATGATAATATGCGATTTACCAATAACGAATAAAATATTTCCTTACATTGCATTGGTTTGTTTTTAGTTTGTCTGTTCCAAGCTTTGATGCTTCTTTCAGAGGGTTTGATGTGGGGTGTGAGATGGTTCATGAGTTAGGTATTTATTTGTTTAGAAGGAGATTGGTCTATTTATGAATAACTGTTTAGGTAAGGTTCTTCTGCTTATATTTCAGATGTGTGAGAAATTTGAATTTTAGATGGTGGATTTTAATTTTGATGTTTCAGTCTGTTTGGGAAGTCTGATGGATGGAATTCCAGCAGAGTTCCTGATAGTTGTATTTCTTACAAACCATGGATTGTCCGTGATGGTTCTTAATATGCTTGATTGAGTACTCTCCAGTTTTTTCCAAGAATTGTGGGATATGTTGGAGGCCCATGCTGGTCCTGCGTATGTAAGCATTGGCCTTAGGTTGGTTTTGTATATATATAATTTCATATTGAGGGGAATCGGACTATTTTTGTTGATAACTGGAAATAGTCAGTGTTTTGCAGCTTTAGTTTTGTTTATTGTGTTTGTGATGTGGGAAGTGAAGTGGAGTTTGGAGTCAATTGTTACTCCTAGATATTTGGCTTTGGTGGACCATTTTATGGTGTTGCCTTCCATTTGTATGTTATTCGTGTGATATGGTATTTTGTTTGCGTACAGAGCTGCTGTGGTTTTTGTAGGGTTTATTGTTACCTTCCAATCTTTGAACCATGTGGAGGCTAGGTCTATTTGGTTTTGTAGTCTTTTAACAGCACAGTCGGTGGTGGGCCCGGAAGCGTAGAACAAAGTATCGTCTGCAAACAGAACCGTCTTGGTATCTTTGTGCTGGGGAATGTCATTGATGTAAGCCGAGAAGAGCTGAGGGGATAGGCAAGATTCTTGCGGTATACCGGCGAAAATTGGTCTACTTGATGACGATGATTCGTTGACTCTTACTTCGAATGCCCTGTGTCGGAGGAGCGATTCGAGTAGTTTAAGCAGCTGAATTGGTATGTAGTTGAAATTGTATGAGTTTGTAAATAAGACCTTGATGCCAGACTTTGTCGAAGGATTTTTCGATGTCTAAAAATGCTGTGGCTGTTTTTGACCTTTTGTTTAGATTTATTGAGATTTCATCAACAATCTTGACTATATGTACTTAAATAATACAGTCTTTATGATTTCTTTTAGGGTCCGTGGCTCGTACACTTTTCTATCGATAACCCCATAATATTATAAATTATAATATATAAAAAGGCAGGTAAGTGGATGTCGCTCAGCTGTACAGTAGGTTACAAGTTGGTCATTGTTTAATGGATTGTATTAAACTTGAATTCAATGATATAATATCATTGTATAAGAAAAACGATTCTGAACGGAGACGGTTTGTCAGTCTGTATATTTTATATTGTCATAAATAATTGTTTTATATTTTTTTATACTATTTCCTACCATGAACCTAATCACCCGCGGTTCTATGATAAGTCGGTACTGACTCATAAGTTAATGATTTATGATATTTATATAGATAATACCTACCTATTTTTTTTTTATTCGTTGCTACGGTGATAAACAAAATGTTAGAAATTAAAATCCCATTTTAAGCGGTTTATCGTAATTTTTCAGTACTTTTTGCCGTGGCTTTAAATAACTATTGAGAAAATCGAAAAATTACCTCTCTAAAG